TTCCCCAGCGGAGTCGCCATCTGTCGCCGCCGTCAAAAAGAGGCGGTCGGAGCGACGCGATGGTTCCGACTTCCATTTCGCGTTTTAAAAGTGTGACGATACAACGCCTTTAGGTTGTTCGATAACCGGGCTAGACCTAAGGGCGAGGTTATCGAAAGAGTGCTCTTAGATCGTCCGATAACCGGGTTGGACCTAAGAGCAAGGTTTTTGAAAGGGTTCTTATGGAGTCGCCATCGATGATTTTACCGAAAACATCGGAAAAGGAAAAAAAGAAGGCAGTGGTTTTCAAAAAACCAACTTTGGCCATTATAACCAGAGTCAGGTAAAGGAGTTAGTTACGTGTGGGGAAGGTATTAGCACCCCCACAACGTCCCTTTCGGGTTCCCTATGATGGACTATTCTTAAAATAAAGACAATAAAATTATGCTTCTACCCTATTTTTTTATTACAAAATTTAAGTAGCTATCTACATGATTATAATATCTAATGCATACAAGGGAAACAGTAAAAGAAAATAAAAGAGAAGAGATATGAAGGAGAACCTTCGAAGCGAGCTTTCATAAATATTGAACTTGAGGACGCTTTTTGGTAGACCCTGCACTCTACAGAGACACTCCTCACTCAATCAAAAAATAAAGGTGTCACCCTACCGAGGGCCAGATATCTAAAAAAAAAGAGACATCCTTAACCGATTTCTACCTTAACGGAAATCGGAAAGATCACTCGAACTCTGGAAAAATACTCAGAGTCACTCTAAAGTGCCAAAAGGCTTCCTAGAGAGTGGTAGGAGTGAATGGTGTGTGTAAAAGTGGGTGGAATGAGGCTCCTATTTATAGGAAAAAGTGCTAGGTCGGGATGGCCATCTGGGATTTCGGGAAGGCCTTCTCGCCATTCGGGAAGGCCTTCTCGCCCTTGCAATTTAGGAAGGCCTTCTCGCCCTCACCATTTGGGAAGGCCTTCTCACCATTCGGGAAGACCTTCTCGCCCCCACTATTTGGGAAGGCCTTCTCGCCAGAATTTTTTAATTTAATTTAATTTTATTTTTTATTATGGGGCCTAATAGTCTCTCTTAGTGACTTTTTAGGCTTTGTCCATATTCGAATAGGAGGTCTTCTACTCTATTTTGAGGTCGGGCAAGATTTGGGGTCTACAACCACCCTTCGGATTTTCGGACTAGGATATTATGTTTTTGGTCCTATCTTTTGTCTAGGTTCATTTTTTCCTGTTTTTGGGAATCCTATCGGACCTTAATTTGTAACCCTTATTTTTCCTAGGCTACCCTTTATTTTTGTTCGGGTTTCCTAGTGGCTTGACCCTAACTTTTGCGTAGCCCCCAGTCCTTGACCAGGATGGTAATCATGCTTCATCATCATGCAGGATACCTTCGTATTAATGGGAAGTCTCTCTACACTGGCAATTTCAAGCGCTTGAAAAAATGTTTCAAGGGCCTCTTTAGCCGCATCCACATAAGGTTGGGTAGACGGTCCACTGATCAGGATATCATATTCTCTTGGACCGTGACCAGTTTATCATCTACTATAAACTTGACTTTTTGGTGGAGCATTGAAGGTACTGCCTTAGCATCATGAATCCAAGGTCTGCCAAGGAGACAACTATGCACCGGAGTAATGTCCATTACGTGAAAATCAATGTTGAAGATAGTGGGTCCAACTTGGATTGGCAGGTTAATTTCCCCCACTACTTCTCGTTTGGATCCATCGAAGGCTCGAACGATAGTGCTGCTTGGGCGCAAGCGGGTTCCTTAAATAGTCAACTTGTCAAGTGTGCACTTGGGCATCACGTTTAAGGATGACCCGTTATCCATAAGAACATTAGCGATGAGATACTCCTTGCATTTGATAGAAATGTGCAAGGGCTTGTTGTGGCTTGACCCCTCTAGGGGGAGTTCTTCATCTGTGAAGGTGAGGTGATCGCTAGTCGTAATGTGACCGACGATCCTCTCAACTTTTTCTTGCGATATATTATGAGGTACATGCACTTCGCTTAAGACCTTCATCAGGGCATTTCTATGCAGTTCCGAAGTCATCATTAGAGATAACAGAGTTATCTTTGCAGGTGTATGATTGAGCTGGTCGATAATGAAATACTCACTTTGTTATGAACTGGAGTAATTCGTCAGTCTCCTCATTGGATTCTTTATTTTCTCTTTCTTCGGTCTGTTTATTTTTTCCTTTATTCTTGGGGACATCTTCTTGTAACTCCTTGGGGGAGTATATTCTTCTGCTTTTGGTCATGCCCCCAATGCCAACTATGTTGGAGATATCTTCCTTTGTTGGTGAAGATTCCTCATATCTCCACGGTACAACTTTATTTGATTCATAGGGGAAAGGGCGAGGTACAAATAGTCACATAGGCGTCCTTGCCCCCTCTTCTTTATTAACCTTGAGAACCAACGACCGAGGCTTATTATCCTCTTGTGGTGAATCGACTGTTGGGGAAAGCTAGATTATGAGCGGCTTTCTCTCCATCCTTCTGATTGGAAGACGTGTCAGTTAATCCTTCCTTTTTATTATCTTATTTATTAAAAAAGTGAAGGAGGGGAATTCAGATATGCAAATGGATGTAATGCATGCAAGTAGACAATTTTTGAATAAAGAAATTTTACTTATTTGTAGAAAGTGTACATTCCCCTACTCCATGCTACGAAGCAATTTTTGACAGAAATGGAAAAGCCTAAAGAAACCCATAGGCGGGTCTTGATCTCTATGTAATTCTCTTTCGGCTTCCCGGACGTGACGAGCGAGTGCTTCAGTTTGTTTTTGGACCGCCTGACTCATATCTTCGCTGTACTTTTGAGCCTCTTTGATCTTTGCCTCCTCATGGACGACCAAGGCTTGTAGCTTGTCGAGTTTCGCAAGGGTTCGGTCCTTTTCTCATAGCACTTGACCATACTGAGCTAATCCATCTCTTTCTTTGCAGTGTAGCTCAGTGAGGTTTCTGTTAAGCCTCTGGTTAGCCTCCCGCTCCTGCCGTATTTCAGACTGAGTCCTTGTGAGGTCTTGCAGCAACTCCTTGATCGTTTGAGCTTGTTTTACACATTCGGCCTCAAGGCGTGCTGATTTGGCGGTTATTTCTTGAAGTTGGTTATCTGAGCTGATTCTGGCAGTTTTGGATGCTCGGATAACTTGTTCATTAGAATCAGCACATTGATCTTTGAGGTGCTCTATCTCGTGATCTTTCTTCTTGCATTGCCTCTGTAGACCGTCTATGGTGAGGATAAATTATTGCTCTCTTTCTTTAAGGGCCCTCATCTGGGCTCCCATGATTTCTATCCTCTGGGTCAAGGCGTCGACTTGGGTTTGTAGCTCTCCACTGTTTGAAAGCGCAATAGGTGGGGCGGATGGTTGTGACATCCTTCTATTTCTTCTCCATTCCTCACAGTCACTAGAGATAGCTACTCGAGCTTTTCCTAGCTCTCTATCTCCCATGAAGACTGGTTTCTCCCATGCTCTTCATACAACAAGCGAATTAGCAACAATGCATGGGTCTCCGAAGAAACACAGTCCTCCGAGCTCTTCCCGTGATATTGCAGTTTGGGTCCTCATGAGTTATCTCATAGCCACTTTTGGAGAATAGGCTATGCAACCCCTAAGTACTATTAACGGTATGCTCGGATAATCCCCACATTTGATGAGGACTGAGCTGGGTCGGAACCAAGGACATACCTGTCACCGTCGTCAAAAGAGGCGGTCAGAGTAACGCGATGGTTCCGACTTCCATTTCGTGTTTTAAAAGTGTGACGTTACAACGCCTTTAGGCTATCCGATAACCGGGCTAGACCTAAGGGCGAGGTTTTCGAAAAGGTGTCTTTCGGTTGTCTGATAACCGAGTTGGACCTAAAAGCAAGGTTTCGAAAAGGGTTCTTATGGAGTCGTCATTGATGTTTTTACCGAAAACATCGGAATAGGAAAAAAAAGAAGGCAGTGGTTTTCGAAAAACCAACTTTGGTCATTATAACCAGAGTTGGGTAAGGGAGTTAGTTACGTGTGGGGAAGGTATTAGCACCCCCATAGCGCCCCTTTCAGGTTCTCTATGATGGACTATTCTTAAAATAAAGACAATAAAATTATGCTTCTACCCTATTTATTTATTACAGAATTTAAGTAGATATCTACATGATTCTAATATCTAATGCATACAACGGAAACAGTAAAAGAAAGAAATAAAAGAGATGAGATATGAAGGAGAACCTCCGAAGCGAGCTTTCATAAATATTGAACTTGAGGACGCTTTTTGGCAGTCCCCGCACTCTACAGAGACACTCCTCCCTCGATCAAAAAATAAAGGTGTCACCCTACTGAGGGCCGGATATCTAAAAAAAAGGAGACATCCTTAATCGATTTCTACCTTAACGGAAATGGGAAAGCTCACTCGAACTCTGAAAAAATACTCAGAGTCACTCTAAAGTGCCAAAAGGCTTCCTAGAGAGTGGTAGGAGTGAATGGTGTGTGAAAATGGGTAGAATGAGGCTCCTATTAATAGGAAAAAATGCTAGGTCGGGATGGCCATCTGGGATTTGCCATTCGGGAAGGCCTTCTCGCCCTTTCCATTTGGGAAGGTCTTCTCACCATTCGGGAAGGCCTTCTCGCCCTCACCATTTGGGAATGCCTTCTCGCCATTCGGGAAGGCCTTCTCGCTCCCACCATTTGGGAAGGCCTTCTCACCTTCGGGAAGGCCTTCTCACCTCCACCATTTGGGAAGGCCTGCCTTCTCGCCATTTGGGAAGGCCTTCTCACCATTTGGGAAGGAGCTACTCGCCAAAATGCTCTTATTATTATTTTTTTTTGTGGCCAGGCAAGATTTGGGATCTACAATACCCAAGATAAATGGTTGACGTCCCATTGTTATAACTCGACCTTCCACTCCATGGTCAGGCATCGGTAGAGAGGGATTTTGGAGAAGCTTCTCAAGGGGTCGGGTGTAGACCCCTAATTTTGCCCGGCCTCTCAAAATAAAAGCTAGAGGAATTTCACTCGAAGATGGAGTTCATCCGGCTTCCCAAAACCGAGAAGGACCTCCCACAACAGAAGACGGAGTTCACTCATTCACACGATAAAAGCCAAAAGAGACTTCCTACACAAAGACAAAGCTTGCCCGACATCTTATTGGAGGCCAAGAAGACTTCCTATATGAAGATAAAGCTTCAACGGACACACCTCGGCATCAATCTATGTCCGAAAAAGGAAAGGAAAGCTTCCCGGGGTCCCAGAACACGAAAACTGGACAAAACAGGCCGAGACCACGGTCCCAAAAGTGGGACGGCCGTCCCAACTGTCATTTTACAGTTGGGACGCGCGTCCCGTATGTGGGACGGCCGTCCCAAACCCATTTTAAGTGGGACGGCCGTCCCGGCCTTCCTGGGGGTCCCGCTCTGTGTAATTTTGCTATTTGGGACGGCCATCCCAGTCCAGACGGCCGTCCCAACCCAGACGGCCGTCCCAAAGTGCGCCAGCTGCGAAAAACTATAAATAGGAGGCTCATTTGCCACTTTTTCACACCACAGACACTCCAGAGAGCTCTGAAACACTTTAGAGCACTTGTCTACTTCTCTCTCTCTCTCGAATGATCTTTCCGATTGCCTTAAATAGGTAACAATCGGTTAAGGAATTATATTCCGGCATTTGATTCTTCTTTAAATTTTTAGTAGAGTCGATCTTGTATTGGTGAGGAGAGACTGTGTAGAGAGAGGGGTTGCCAAAACGCATCCTCACAGTTCGAGATTCTCAATATAAAGCTTGCTACGGAGGTTCTTTTCAATTCCCTTCTCTTTTATTGTTTTATTTATTGTTTTATTGTTTTATTTAGCTTTATTATGTCATGTAGAATAGGATCATGTAGATAGCTATTTTAATATCTCTTTTATTGCTTTATTTAGCTTTATTCATCATTTTATACATGCAACATAGAATAAAATCATGTAGATAGCCATTTAATATTATGTAATAAAATAGGGTAATCGCGTAATTTCTCGTAGTCTTTATTTAAATGAATTAATCTGTCATAGGGAACCCGAAAGGGGCGTTGTGGGGTGCTAACACCTTCCCCACACGTAACTAACTCCCTTACCCAACTCTGGTTATAATGGCCAAGTGCGGTTTTTCTTAAAATCAACATTTTTTCCTTTTCCAATGTTTATGGTCAAAACATTGGTGGCGACTCCATAAGAACCCCTTTTCGAAAACCTTTTAAAACAAAAACGCGAGTCTAAACCATCTTTTCGCGACCGCTCGCATAAACGTTTCGAGACGTCCCCCGGACGTCGGAAAGGGACGGCGGCGACAGATGGCGACTCCACTGGGGAAGCTAGAGAGTTGATCCCATTTAGTGACAGATAAATTCAAACTAAGTAAAGATTTGAAATTACGCCTTTACCCTTCTGTATGTTTTTTATTGTATGGCTTTAAATAACTGCTGTATGATTATTTCTGCAATTGTTTGAAATATAAATTGCACACAAAAACCCTTGCACACAACAGTCCCTCTATACCCGGGGGCAAGAGTGAATATCTATAGGGAGTGGGTGGCAGATACGATCGGTTAGTTGGCACACGGGGCTACTACCGTTGTCGGAAAACCACCAACTCAAGGTGATAACTCTCTTCTTTTGATCTAAGGGTGTCGCCACGGAGTTCCGTGCATGACCCGAGGAGAGAGATTGAGAGGTCCCTATAATGGGGGCACCTTGGGGACCTTTGGCCTGGTGAGAACAGTTAGAACCACCTAAACCAAGCACGTTTCTGCAGGAACACCCTACCTCGTGATTAAATAAGCGTGGCTCTGCTCGTGGATGTATGAATTGTGTGTGCATACGTTTGCTGCATTTGTATTGATACATTAGCATAGGGTAATCATACAACAAAAAAACAAAAAATGAAGAAACCCTAAAAATCATAAAAAAAAAATAAAAAACATTAAGGTCATAAAAATACCTTTTTACAAAATTCCTGGCAAAGTCGTATCATTCATACCGCATCATTCAATAAGTGGTAAAACCAAGAGAGAAAATCAATGCATTAAGAAAAGTATGCATAAACATCATCATAATAAAATCTCTCATACATAAACACATTCATCCTAGGGCATATTTATTCCACACCAATCATTTAAAATAAAAAGTTATAATAAGAATCATTAAAATCATTTAGAAGGTGGCTGGTCTTCCGCCCGTCCTCACTCGTGCTCAAAAGGCTAGGAAAATGGAACAACTAGAAGAACAAAACCGAAAGCTCACCGCTGAGCTTACTACACTGAAAGAACAAATGGCTCAAATGTTAGAACTGATGCATCAACAGAATCTTCATCAAGAGGGTCCTCAGAATGGACAGGCCTCTCACCAGGAAGAAGAAGAGGAACCTCAAAATGAGCACAATCAATCTGACACAAGAACAGTACACATTCCTGCTCCTGAAGTATCAAAACAACAAATCACTGCTCTTGAAGAGAGGCTGAGAGCCATGGAAGGTCATAACTTTGATATAAAAGAGGCGGCTGATATGTGCCTCGTCAAAAATATCCAATTCCCTAACAAGTTCAAAACTCCGGACTTCCCGAAATACATGGGAACGACCTGCCCAAGAAACCATCTTACTATGTACTGCCGAAAGATGGCTGCACATGCTGATAATGAAAAACTCCTGATCCACTGCTTTCAAGAGAGCCTGGCTGAATCAGCCTTAAACTGGTATATGCAACTAGAAGGAGGGCAAATACAAACTTGGAGACATATGGCAGATGCATTTCTTCGTCGTTATAAATATAATATTGATCTGACCCCTGAAAGAGCAGATCTACAATTATTAAGCAAGAAAAATGACGAATCCTTCAAAGCATATGCTCAAAGATGGAGGGAATTGGCAGCACAAGTGGAACCTCCTCTATCCGACAAGGAAACTACATCCATGTTCATCAATTCTCTGACCGGTCCCTATTACGACAAAATGATAGGGAATACATCAACACTCTTTGCGGATGTAGTCATCATAGGAGAGAGAGTAGAGCAAGGTTTGAAGAGTGGAAGAATTATACAACAAACCTCCTCCAATTCCTCTACTCAAACTTTTAAAAAGAATATTGGAAAGAAGAAGGAAGGAGACGTGAATGCAGTTAATATTGCCACGCCTTCTGCCTCCTCGCAACAAGCCAAGCCACGCAGACAAGAGAGGAAATTCACTTCCATACCTACCTCCTACGGAAGTCTGTTTTTGAAATTATTGGACGCCAAGCTCCTCGTACGTGTCCCTCCCAAGAAAATGGAACCACCATACCCGGAATGGTATAAATCTAATGAAAGTTGTGATTACCATTCAAGTTCTCCGGGACATTCCATCGAAAACTGTGTAGCCTTAAAACACAAAGTCCAGAATCTAATAGACGCAGGATGGATTACCTTTGATACATCTACTCCGCAAGTGGATGACCAGCCCTTATTAAAGCTCGAATAAAAGACGGGATAAGGAAGACCAGCAGATTAGGGCTCATCATTCTTACCATCTTTTGCAACAAAAAAAAAATATTTCAAAAAAAAAACTCCCGATGTATTTCTTGTGATCCCTGCCCATGATCACGAGATTTTTGGTTAATAAGGGCTTTGTAAATATTTTCTTCTATCAATACAATAAGGCATTTTTTAATATCCATATTCTCTTTCATTCTTTTCTCTCTCATACATCTCATAAAGAAATCTAAAACAAAGCATAACCCATACAGTCATGTTTGTGATTGAAAACTCCTTGGAAGATCCGAAAGCTGAAGACGAATGGATTGAGTCAGACAGTGAGGAGGGGACCATTTCCCCGGACATACAAAGACTGCTAGAAAAAGAAGCGCAATCAATACAGCCCCATCAGGAGAAAACTGAGGTCATCAATTTGGGACAAGAAGATAATAAGAAAGAAGTAAATATTGGAACCCAAATTGACGATGATGTCAAAGAAAAACTAATACAATTGCTAAGAGAATATATGGACGTGTTTGCGTGGTCCTACCATGATATGCCTGGAATCGATAAAAGTATAGTGGAGCACCGATTACCATTAAAAGAGGGATTTCGGCCCGTTAAACAGAAACTCAGAAGAGTAAAACCAGAATGGTCCTTAAAAATTAAAGAAGAAGTAGAAAAACAGTTGGAGGCCAATTTTCTGATTGTGTCAAAGTACCCTGAATGGTTGGCAAACATAGTGCCAGTTGTCAAGAAAAATGGAAAAATCAGAGTATGCGTAGATTACCGGGACCTAAACCGTGCAAGTCCAAAAGATGATTTTCCCTTACCACATATTGATATGCTCGTAGATCACACTGCTACAAATACTCTCTATTCTTTCATGGACGGATATGCAGGGTATAATCAAATCAAATTAGCTGTCGAAGACAGAGAAAAAACTTCCTTCATTACGCCATGGGGGACATTTTGTTATAGAGTAATGCCTTTCGGACTTAAGAACGCGGGGGCAACCTATCAAAGGGCTATGGTTACACTATTTCATGATATGATTCACAAAGAAATCGAAGTATACGTGGATGATATGATTGTCAAGTCCAAAAATGAGACAGATCACCTCCTACACTTAAAGAAACTATTCAATCGGCTTCGAAAATACCAGATTAAGCTTAATCCGGCTAAATGCACATTCGGAGTACGATCAGGAAAACTTCTCGGGTTTATCGTCAGTAAAAAAGGAATCGAGGTGGACCCTGATAAAACAAAGGCAATCCTAGAAATGCCCCCACCAAGAACAGAAAAAGAAGTCAGAGGGTTCCTAGGTCGAATAAACTACATCGCACGATTCATTGCGCAATTAACAGATAAATGTACGCCTATCTTCAAGTTATTGCGTAAAAACCAATCGACAGTTTGGAACGATGAATGCCAACAAGCCTTCGAAAAGATCAAAATATGCCTAACTAATCCTCCAGTACTGATACCACCTGTGGAAGGGAGACCCCTAATTCTTTACCTATCAGTACTCGATGAATCCATGGGATGTGTACTCGGTCAACAAGATGATACCGGAAAGAAAGAACAAGCCATATATTACCTCAGTAAAAAATTTCTAAATTATGAGACCCGCTATACACCACTCGAAAAAACATGTTGTGCATTGGTGTGGGCAACTCAACGCCTTCGACAATATATGATCAGACATACAACTTGGTTAATTTCCAAAATGGACCCAATCAAATACTTGTTTGAAAAACCCATCTTGACCGGGAGGATAGCTAGATGGCAAGTACTTCTCTCAGAATTTGATATCATTCATGTCACTCAGAAAGCTATCAAAGGCAGTCCTTTGGCAGACTACCTGGCACATGGGTCAGCAGACGAATATCAATCCCTCCAAGATGATTTCCCAGATGAGCATATAATGCATATCCAACATGAAGAGCTTAAAAATGATGAATGGATCATGTTTTTCGATGGAGCTTCAAATTTACTGGGACATGGGATCGGAGCTATTTTAATATCACCTGAAAAGAAGCATATCCCGATAACAGCTAGATTAACCTTTGACTGTACAAACAATATGGCAGAATATGAAGCCTGTGCTCTAGGTATTCAAGCGGCCTTGGATCACGGGGTAACTAAACTTAAAGTATTCGGTGACTCATCCCTTGTTATTTACCAGCTCAAGGGTGAATGGGAAACTAGAAACTCCAAATTAATCCCTTATTTGGAGCATATCCGTAAGATGACTTCACAAATGGAAAACATCAGTTTCGAGTATATCCCTCGGGAGGATAACCAGATTG